ATGGTAAGAATAATAACCAGGCTGGGCACAGTGGCTCACAGCTGTAATCCTAGCACTCTGGGAGGACAAAGTAGTAGGATTCTCTAAGCAAGGGAGAGACCTTCTATAAAAATTTTAAAAATTATCTGGGCATGGTAGCATATGTGTATAGTCAGCCCCAGCTACTCCAGAGGCTGAGACAGGAGGATCACTTGAACATAGGAGTTTACAGTTGCTATAAGCTACAATGACACCACTGTACTCTAGTTGGGGCAACAGAGTAAGACTCTGCCTCCAAAAAAGAAAGGAAAAAATGAATAATAACCAAATCAGGGTGACACTCCAAAGGAAAGCATAACCAGGGGCACTAAACATCATCTTTACCCACCAGCATCACAAATTACCTTTATGTTTTTGGCAAATAAACACCAGGACATGCAGGGCCCTGGGAACACTCACTAAGGCACCCACAGGTGTCTGCAGCCTGTCCCAGGCTTTGGGGGACAACACAGGCTGGACAAGTCCCTGTCCTCACAGAGCTCACGTTCTAGTGAGAGGAGGACAGATGAGCAGAGAGATATCGAATGTGAGGTCGGGTATGGACAAGAGCCAGGGAGGGAGCAGGCAGGGAAAGGTCACAGGGGAAGACCCAGGGTCTCTAGAAGAGGTGGCCAGGGAAGGGGCAAGCATATCCCTGAATGTGAGCAGGGGTCTGAGGGCAGTGAGGGGTGAGCCGTGCAGACACCTGGGAAGAAGATTCCAAACAGGGACTTGACCAGTTCAGAGGCACTGAAGTGATGGGGTCATGCTGCTGACCTTGACCCAGAGGACACACTCACACTCACCCCCAAAGGTTGAGGGTAAAGACACCTGCTCAGGACCCAGGGCCCCATTTTCCATCCCAATACAAAGTTCCTAATAAGAATCAATTCTCTCTCCTCCCTCCTAGTCTCACTTCTCACCTCCTGGAACCCACCCACCACTGCCCAGCTCACTGTTGAAACCGTGCCGCCCAGTGCTGCAGAGGGGACAGATGTCCTTCTACTCGTCCACAGTCTGACAGACAGTCCTTTGGGCTACAACTGGTACAAAGGAAACAGGGTGGATAGCAGCAGTCAAATTCTAGGGTACTTAGTAGCCACTCAGACGAGTACCCCAGGGCCTGCACTCAGCGGTCAAGAGACAATATACCCCAATGGGACCCTGCTGTTGCAGAATGTCACCCAGAACGACACAGGATACTACACCATACAAGTCTTACCACAAAATCTTCTGAGTGAAGAAGCAACTGGACAGTTACGCGTGTACCGTGAGTGATTCTGTGACCTCTGGGTGCTGGGGGGGTTGGTTCTACTTCATGCACACGGGTAGTCAGAACTGGGCAGCTTCTGCCTCCCCCTCTACATCCCGTCCCATGTTGGGGGTTGGGTATCAAGTGCAGGACACACACTGTAGGACAGACTTCAGAGATCAGAATCCTTTCCTGCATCCAGACCCTGCAGACATTCCCTGGGGAAGGACCAGTCTGAGGGGACAACTCAGCAGGGAGACATCAGTCTCAGACCAGCACCCCTGGGCCCTCCCCATAGACATGACCATGAGAAGGAGCCTGTGGGACTCAGTCAGGGCCTAGTCTGGGGGTCTCCCTAGGATCCTCACAGAGAAGTTCAGGCCTGGGGCTCCTGAGTCCAGGTTACCCTGGGGAGCCTATGGCCAGGGCTGGGCTTTGGCCCCCTGGGCAGGGCTGACTGGGTATGACGATTTACCAGCTGTCTGAGGACTGAAGCTCCTTGGGCTGGTCACCAGTCAGGGCTGGACCCCACAGCCTGGGCAATTACAATGCCCAGTTAGTGACCTGAGGCTCAGTGTGGGTGGCACAGACCAACAGTTTCCTCAGGCCATCAGCGCTCCGTCCTGGGTACCTAAGAGACTTCAGGGAAGGAACAGAGGAGAGAGGAAGCTCCTGGAGGTGGCTGTCCACAGAGGTCAGTCCCAGAAGCTCCTTCACAGGCTCCAGCAATAATCAATGCTATTTATTTGGGCAGCTCCGCTACACAAAGCTTTAGGTCGGGTAATTGGGAACATCTAAGGTTAACTCACAGTCATGATAAGCCAGAGACCATTGATAATTTATCCTATTTTACCGAGGGGAAACGGAGGCACAGGACCATACAGTCATTGGACTGGGTCACACAGAACATGACTGGAAGATCAGAGCCCCGGGAGGCCTGTCTGCAGCCACAGCCTCAACCTCTCCGCAACGCCGGGCCCTTACTAGGCATCCGGGAGCCCCAGTGCCAGTCCTTGGTTCAGCTGCTTTCTTCTCAGTCATCTACAGCTCAGAGGGGGAAATTGCAGTCTGGGAGTAAGATCAAATGGAGAATTAATCAGTTTTCCTCCAGACCTAGACCTCTTGCCTCAGCAAGCAGAGTCAGTGCCTGGAATACCCAGGCCTCCCCTCGGACCCCTCTTCCCACTGGACTTGAATCCATGTTCTTCCTGGTGTGTCTATGTCACTCCTGCCAAGGACATAGGATAGGACTTGGCTCTTCCTTCCCCCACTCACACCCTGCACCAGCACAAGCTTCAGTGTGTGACACCCTCAGTAGTTCTCTGATGAAGGAGGGAGGGAATGAGTGAACGATCCACAACCTCTTCAGAGACTGGATCCCGGGTGCAGAATCCTGACCACGCCTGCCTGTTCCCTTCCCTCAGGGGCTGAGACCCATGCTCCATCCCTCTGACCCCTGCCCCTACAGCCGCCAGGAATCTCATCTCATGTGACCCAGGGGCTTCCAGACTGTAGGTGGGTTTGGGGGCTCCCTGGTCCTGGTTCTGGGGTCTCCGAAGTCCCTGGAAGCCCCGTGCTCACTGCTGTGGTGTGTCTGGCTCTCCGTTCTCCCTCCATGTCCCTCATCCCCCACCCCCTTTGTTCCAGCCAGGACTGCTCCTGCCCTGCATGGCTAACAATGGCTGCCTGTCTTGGTCGCTTAACACTGTGGCCGGACTCCCCTCCTAGGCAATAGTAAAAGCATGGAAATAAGTCAGAGTAGCTGCCCCTGCCAGGCTCTGTCATGACCCACTGCCACCAGATCACCTGGAGAAAGAGCTTCCACAGTGTCCCCACCCAGAACTCTTTCTGTCTGTGGGGCCAACTTATGGGACAGGCCACAGGACAGGGACTCCCTACACTACCTCACCAGGGGTCAGAGGAGAGGGCCAGGTCTGCAACCCCTAAAGTCACAGGCTCATTTCACCCATTTCACTGACTCCTGACTCCAGCCTCATCCTGACACAGGGCTCCCACCCTCCCTGGTTCCCGGGACCATCCCAGAGGGAGCTGGCCAG